TACTATGTCGTCTAGGTAAACATTTATATTAGTAATTATTTTATAATAATACGTTTTTTAGTTTATTTTTTGCTATATCTCCCAAGATCGGATAAAAAATGCGAAGTAAAGAGGAAGCGAAAGGGGAACCATGATATAGAAAGGTACCACTGTATACAGTATATATAATATTTACTCATATAAACAGAGTGTAAATTATATATGGGGTTACTCTATGTAACTCAGTGTCACAAAATGATGGAATTCTTACCGTGCAGTATATGGTCACTACTACACACTGTTGAATTATATTTATATGTTTATGTATTTATTGTGATTGCTCATGATCTACCGGCACTCCCTTTGCAACCTGCTGGTAGATTAGCTCAAATGTTAAAATTAACTTGCAGTAATTGCAGTAAATGCGTTGAGTTTCTCTCAAAGCCAGATTCTTGTTTACATTATTATACATTTTTAGGGTTAATTTATTTGACTCTGAAGGAGTCATGGAACTCAGGAACAAGGAGCAACTGTGGCAGGATTTTCTGGACCAGAACTATTTATGAAAAAAAATAATGAAATTTTGTCATTAGGGTTGAAACTTGGCAGTTACATGTTTAAACCGGTAATTGTATTTAAATCTAGCCCATCTAATTTTTTTCCTTGAGGTCATTAATTTTGCAATTAGTTTGTGTTGTAAAAAAAAAAAGAAACAACCATGGGTCCTGAATTAAAATATATTATGCTGGTATGTTTGAAAAATCATTGGAACATTTGTTACAAAGATCAGCGTATTATATTTTTGGCTGTATTGTGTTGCTTAAGTAAAAAAAAAAAACAGCTCTTTTTAAGTTTAATCACTGTATGTTTGTTCACAACTCGATTTCTGTGATTGCTGTTTGAAAGACTCAGTAGCAGGCATGGGCAAACTGAGGCCTGCGGGCCGGATGCGGCCCATTCAGCTTTGTAATCCGGCGCGCCAAACTTGTCCAAATTATATAATTGGTTTGTATTGTGATTATACTTCTGCCTTTTCCCTGCAATGCCCACAGTTTTCCTATAGATGCCGTACAGAAGGCTAATAGCATCTGAGCATTTTAGCCTTTATGCATGACTTTTACATGTCATTTATCTTAGTTCACATGAACGCTCCATCTATCTGCTCCTGACCCGGCCACCCCTGTCAAATTTTAGGACCGATTGTGGCCCGCGAGCCTAAAGGTTTGCCCACCTCTGCTCTAAGGTGTCCACATAGTAATCAGACTGGAACCAGAATCGATGAGCTAATCCTACAGAATGGAATCAGGCCAATTGTTCAATCGGCCAGTTTTTCTATGGAGGGATTTAACACACACACACAAATACACTCTGCCGTTAGGCATCCATTAGACCAATCTGAACACTTGGATCACTTTACGTAAAGTTACAGGCCAAATCTAATAATGCTTCCATTATACCCCCCCACACACACACCCCATCCCGCCTCCTCACCCCTCCCTCTGTCTGTTTCTCTTTCTCTCTCACTCCATCTTTCTCGCTCCAGTTTTACCTGTGCCTGGCTGTCTGTAGATCTGCAGAGTGGCAGGAGTCGGTCTTCTACGACGGATCTGAGACAACACACAAACAAAATACGATTTTTCTTTTTTTTTTTAGTAGTTGTTGTTAGCAAAAATGATGCAATGGAAGTCTATTTAGATACCTAGCTACATTGTACTCTTAGAGTAATTGTTGTTATTCAAACAGAGGTTACTAGCAGCAAGTATAAAACATTTGAAAGCCTTCACATTCCTACAGATACAGTCTTAGAGGTCATATACAGTGTGATCATTGCTGCAACTTCACAGGAATATAAATGTTTATCCTCATACTGAAGCTTGGTTTATAAGTAATATCCGAAATAGATTGTTGCTAACTTTTTTTTTACTGTCTTCTGGAACTTTCTCTTATACAGAGGTTCCGTACATAACAACGTCTGGTTCCCAGTGAACAAACGAAGATAGAGACGTAGTGGTAGCTGTTCAAAGTAGATACTCCTGAGAACAACTACTGATTATTTCCTTTGTAGTTTACCATCATGTTCACTTCATATACTGTACGTGTTATCCTGTATAGTACAGATGTAGCAAGTACTGGTACTTTAGAACAAGGAGAGAAATCCTGCGTTTCGCATAGTACTGTAGCAATCAACTGCCAGTTACCTAGGAAATGAATAAAACCTATAACGCAGGGATGTCAAACATACAGCTCGCAGGCCAAAACCACCCATCTCGGGTGTTCAGTACGGCCCGCTTGATGAATATTTGAAAGTGCAAAAAAATGCACAAACACTGCATGTTAGTGACGTCTCGTCAATTATTTCAGTAAATATATATATATTTTCTAATATATGGACATGGACTTATTGTTATTTATAGGTAATTAAGTTATGATTGTACTGGTCTTGACCACTTGACATCTAACTAGGTTGAATTCGGCCCCTGAAGAGTAGGTGAGGGTAGAGGAAAAGTACCACAAGTGCACAAAAGTATGCATGCTAACATTTTTTTTTTTGACATTTTAAAGTAAACTATCAATCAGTATGGAAGTTTCTAAATGGTTTTATACTCTCTTGCCTATTTTCTACCTTTAAGTGCAAACATTTAACGTCATACAACCAAACATGACAGACTCATTACACACACACAGAGAGAGAGCACTTCCATGCAAACACAGTCCTCTGCACCCACTCTGAAAATTCCTGACCACAGATAAAAGCCCCATTCAGCCCTACGAAGCCTCAACACCCTCCACCCGAACTCCGCGCCACATATTGTACGCAAACACACACAACGCACATACACGCACGCTCACTTGTTCAGCGGCCTGTGGGTCCAACTGCCCCTGCAGTGGTGGCACTACAAACTGGATCTTCTTCGGACTGCTGGGCTCCATTATTAGTGACAGAGAGGTGTACCGAAAGATGGACAGGAAGAGGGGGAAGGAGAGAGTGAGTGAGAGAGAGAGAGAGAGAGAGAGAGGGAGGGGGGAAAATACAGGGC